GTCAGAGGGTGGGGTGGGTACCGGGTGGAGGGAAACTATGGGGGGGGGGGGGGGGAAGGAGAAACAATTGTAATAATCTGAACAAGAAAGATTTATTAAATAAAAATAAAATGCCAACAGCAAAAGACAAAGAGAGAATCTTACAAGCAGCAAGAGAAAAACAGTTAGTTACTTACAAGGGAGCACCCATACAACTGTCAGATGATTTCCCAACAGAAACCATGCAGGCCTGATGGGATCGGCAAGAAATATTGAAAGTGATAAATAGCAAGAACCTCCAACCAAGATTACTGTACCCAGCAAAGCTGACATTCAGAATTGAAGGGCAGATAAAGAGCTTCACAGATAAGAAAAGGCTAAAGGAGTATATCACCACCAAACCAGTATTATATGAAATGCTGAAAGGTATTCTTTAAGTTGAGGAAGAAGAAGAAAAAGGTAAAGATAAAAATTATGAACAACAAATACATATCTATCAACAAGTGAATCTAAAAATCAAGTGAATAAAAAAAATCTGATGAACAGAATAAACTGGTGAATATAATAGAATCAGGAGGACAGAAAGGGGTGGACTGACAATTTTCGAGGGGAAAGGGTTATGGGGGGTGCAGGAAGAAATTGGACAAAAGTCGTACACCTATGGATGAAGACAGTGGGGTGGATAAGAGCAGTGGGTGGGTAGGAACCGGGTGGAGGGGAGCTACAGGGGGGAAAAGAGGAACAATTGTAATAATCTGAACAATAAAGATTTATTAAATTTAAAAGAAACACAAAAATAAAAATACTTTGACCATCTCTATTCCAACAAACTGGACAACATAGATGTAATGGACATATTCTTAGAAAAATACAAGCTCCCAAAACTCTTATCAGGAAGAATAAAAAAAACCTGAATAAGCAAAGAAATTGAAGAATAAAAAATTTTCCAGCAAACAGAAGCCCTGGTCTGGACGGCTTTGCAGACCAGGGCTGGGTAGAAAAGGAGTTCTACCAAGCATTCAAAGAACTAAAACCTATCCTTCTCAGACTATTCCAAAAAATTCAAGAGGAAGAAACACTTCCAAGCTCTTTCTATGAAGCCAGCATTACTCTAATTCCAAAACCAGATAAAGACACCACAAAAAAGAGAACTACAGGCCAATATCCTTGATGAACACAGATACTGAATTCCTCAACAACATTCTAGCAAATCAGATTCAGCATTACAGGAGAAAGATCATACACCATGATCAAGTGGGATTTATTCCGGGAAAGGAGGATGGTACAATATCTACAAATCAATAAATGTGATCCATCACATAAACAAATTGAGAGATAAAAATCACATATTTATATCAATCAACACAGAAAAAGCATTTGATAAAATCCAACACCTTTTCTTGATAAAAACTTTCAGCAAAGAAGGAATAGAGGGATCATACCTCAACATAACAGAAGCCTTATATAACAAACCTACAGCCAATATCATACTCAATGGGCAAAAAGTAAATCCATTTCTTTAAGAACAGAAACAAGACACAGATGCCCACTTTCACCACTCCTGTTTGACATAGTATTGGAAGTGCAAACAATAGCGATGAGTTAAGAAGAAAAAATTGGAAAAGAGAAAGTAAATATATCCTTATTTGCAGATGACATGATACTATACACAGAATATGCCAAAGACTCCATCAAAACCTACTAGACTTAATAAATGAATTTGGCAATGTAGCAGGACTATGGGGGGGGGGGGGGGGGAGGAGAAACAATTGTAATAATGAACACTCAGAAATCTCTGGCCTTTTTATATACAATAATGAACCCCATTTTTATATACAAAAATGAACACTCAGAAATCTCTGGCCTTTTTATATACAATAATGAACCCACAGAAAGAGAAAGTAAAAAAACAATACCATTCATCATTAAAAAAAAAAATTAAGATACCTATGAATAAACTTAACTAAGGAGGTAAAAGACCTGTACTCAGAAAACTACAGGACCTTGAAAAAAGAGGTAGAGGAAGACATAAACAAATGGGAGAACATACAATGCTCACGAGTTGGTAGAATTAGCTTCATTAAAATGTCCATACTATCCAAAGCAATCTACATATTCAATGCAATCCCCATTAAAATACCAAGGGTATACTTCAAAGACCCAGAACAAACTCTCCAAAAATTCATCTGGAATAAAAAGACCCCAAATAGCTACAGCAATCCTGAGAAAGAAGAACAAAGTTGGAGGGATCACAATACCAGCTATCAAGCTACATTACCAAGCCTCTGTACTGGCAAAAGAACAAACATATAGACCAATGGAACAAAACAAAGAACCAAGAAATAGACCCAAGCCATTATGTTCAATTATTATTTGACAAAGGAGGCAAGAGCATACAATGGAGTCACTATAGTCTCTTCAATAAATGGTGTTGGGAAATTTGGTCAGATACATGTAAAAAATGAAACTAGATCATCAACTTACACCATACACAAAAACAAACTCAAAATGGGTAAAGGACTTAAATGTAAGATGGGAAACCATAAAAATCTTAGAAGACTCCATAGGCAGAGAAATATCAAATATATTTCATAGTAATACCTTTACTGATACAGCTCTTATGCAATGGAGACTGAGGAGAAAATAAACAAGTGGGACTACATCAAAATAAAAGCTTCTTCACAGCAAAAAAAACCATCAACAAAACAACAAGAAAGTCCACTGCATGAGAGAACATATTTGCCAATGTTATCTCCAATAAGGGTTTTATCTCCAACATTTATAGGAAACTCATACAACTTAACAAAAGGAACATAAACCATCCAATCAAAAAATGGGCAAAGGCCCTAAACAGACACTTTTCAAAAGAGGACAAACAGAAGGAAGAGACATATGAAAACATGCTCAAAGTCACTAATCTTCAGAGAGATGCAAATCAAAACAACAAGATACCATCTTATACCTGTCAGAATGGCTATCATCAACAAATCAACAAACGACAAATCCTGGCAAAGATGTGGAGAAAAAGAATACTTGTGCCCTGCTGGTAGGAATGCAGACTGGTGCAGCCACTGTGAAAAACACTATGGAAATTCCTCAAAAAATTAAAAACAGAACTCCTATTTGACCTTATTCTCATTTATAAAAATATAACCCAAGAAACCAGAAACACTAATCAGAAATAATATATGTAATAATATATGTACCCCTATGTTTATTGCAGCACAATTTATAATAGCTAAAATTCAGAAACAGCCTGAGTGCCCATTAGCAAATTAGTGGATTAGAAAACTGTGGCACAACTACTCAATGGAATACTATTCTGTCATAAAAAAGAAGGAACTTTTACCATTAGCAACAGCATGGATGGAACTGGAGAGCATTATGCTAAGTGAAATAAGCCAGTTGTAGAAAAATAAATATCACATGAGCTCACTCATATGTGGGATGTAATGATCAACAGAAACTGATGAACAAAAATAGATCCAGAGACAAATGGCAGGGAAGAAGGGGAGGGTTAGAGATCAACCAAGGACTTGTATGAATGCATATTAGCATAACCAATGGACACAGACACTGGAATAGTGGGGGCTTTCCCTCAGGAGTAGGAGTGATGGGAGGGGGCGTCAATCAGGGAGAAAGGAGAGATATATTAAACTTTAAACAATAAAATAAAATAAAATTAATAAAATATATAATACTTTACAAATGTCAAAAAAATTAATAAAATATATAATACTTTACAAAAGGTTACAAGTTGTTTTTCTCTCGCTAGAAGCTTTTACACTCAGTTAGACAACTCTGCACTCTCTAAATGATCACTTAACCAAGTCAACCTGTTTACTCCTTTTGTTGGAACAAGTACAGGCACAAGCAATTAAAAAAAAAAAAAGTTAAAAATAAAAACCAATGTTAGATTTGAAACACATTATGTTTCTTATCTCTCCAAAAATGTCTTACCTGATTAAGTTTTCCATATAGAAATGTTCAAATCAGACTGCATTCCCTACCACTAAGTTCACAGTATAGAAAACATCAAATAGAAGTGTAACTATTATGTTCTAAACAGTGTGAAAACAGAACACAGAAGGGTTAACCAGAGATTAGTGCTATCAAATTAAGATAGATCAGCATATATCTATATATTATGAATGTGATTTAAGGTAAAAAATACATTGCTAATTTTTTAAAATTGAAATACCAGGAAATAATCCTATATAATAAAAGGCTAATATGCAAATCAACCAAATGGCAGAATAATTGGTCGCTATGATGCGCACTGACCACCAGGGAGCAGGCCTAAGCAGGCAGATGGACATCTCCGAGGGATCCGCCTATGAGAGGGCACAGGCTGGGCTGAGGGATACCCCTTCCCCCAAATACACAAATTTTCGTGCACTAGGCCTCTAGTCTTTGGATAAAAATGCAGCCACTGAAAGGTCAAAAGAGAAAAACACGTATTAAAAAACTTATCATTTGGGCTAGCATTAGAGGCCTTGTTTTCTCTTTAACTACATGTCCTTTAACATTTTATCTAAAAACCAGGCATTTATTGAAACTATTTTATTATTCATTTTCTTCTAAAAGTTCTGAGGTCAATTATAAAGGATATTATGGAGATCACTAAATCCTAATTTTCTCTCTCTAGAATAAGAACACCATAGAAAAGTCATCTGGTCATTCAAAGTTTTGATTTAAAAAAAACATAGAGTAGCCCTAGCAGATGTGGCTCAGTGGATAGAGCATTAGCATGCAGACTGAAGGGTCTGGTTTCGATTCTGATCAAGGACACATATCTGGGTTGTGGACTTGATCCCCAATAGGGGATGTGCAGAAGGCAGCCAATCAATGATTCTCATCATTGATGTTTCCATCTCTCTCTTCCTCTCCCTTCCTCTCTGAAATCAATAAAAATATGTTTTAAAAAATTAAAAAAACATAGAGTAAAACACAGACACAATACACCCATAACATTTAGTGCAGAAACTTTGGCAGGATTCTCTGGGAAGAGGGATGCTCACAGAAGCTTCCTCGGTGCCTCTCTTCTCTCTGGAATGGCCTCAGGGTCCGCCTTGGTCAGAAGTATGATGTGGTTTTTAAAGTGACAGATGGCTTTCAAGCCTATGAAAAGCTGTATTCTTAAAGCACAGATATCCATACTGACAGGTGGGCAAGCCTAGTAAAGGAAAAATCACAAATTTAACCAAGGAAAAAATATACATAAACTTTAATCTTCAAAAATCCGTCTGTTTTTTGATAAAGTCTCTCCTACCCTAACCCACTAAAAAAAAAAAACTCCTCAAAATTCCCATTCTTATCAGAACAAGAAGGTTATCTTATCAAACTATCTACTTTATATGTCAAAGAGTACTCTTTCTGAATGAATTCAGAAAGTGGGTGTGCCTGAGGCCCTCACAGCAGAGGGGGACTCCCCGTGTCTGGGAGTGCAGCCACTAAGGGAAATCCCACTAACAGAATGCTGGCTTGGGGGTATGGCCAAAAGGAGCTCCAAGGCAAAATGAGATACTACAAAAAGGCATTCCACTGCACAGAGAGCACATAAAATAGTTTCTTAGTAGATGGGTGTGTAGGATGAAAATGCTTGTATATTCAGATGGCCCCTGACTCTTTGGTCCTTAAGTGTGAACACTGTCTAGAATGCCTGACAGGTTGGGTGTGTCAGGTAAACTGGAGGAAATCTGGGTCCTGTCCTTGTAAGGGAAGATTAATTCAATTAGAATGGATAAGAAAGATAACAGAATAACTCTTTCAGGGAGCTCACAAGACATTCATGTTATAGCAGGGTTATCCATGTGAAGACTCATGCCTCCTCCTGCATTCACACTGTTTGATTTCGAGGTCATCTTCCTTGTCCATTTGTACAGCATGCTTGGGGAAATACCTCCATCCATGTTTTCATCCCTAAGAAGAGTAAGGTGGCTCTGGCTAGTGCTGAAGAGCTAGAATCTGAGAGGAATGGGAAAAAAAGGTATATGCCTCTTGGGCCAAACTCTGAGGCTGTGAAATCTTTTTCAGACCCCTCAGCTCCCAAAGCCTGAGTCAGCTTTAGTCAAGTGGCTAAATGCATGCTCACTCAGGTGGCATCTGGAATTTCAGAATGGTAGGGATGCAAGTGTGATCACCATCCTGCCCTGTGTACGCTCCAGAAGACGGGTCTCAAGTGCAGCAGCCCCAACCAGCTACTGGTCTCTCTTCTTTTCTCCCTTCCTCTCTTTTGGTTCCTTCCCTCTGGTTTTATGAGACTGAGAAGACCTGAAAGTATGATTTATTTTCCCTTCTTTTCCTTAAGAGTTTTATTGACATACCATTCACATACTATACAATTCACCCATTTAAAGCATACAACTGAATGGTTTTTAGTATAATAGTGTTTAACAAACAGATATGTGCAACCAACACCAGTCAACTTTAGAACACTTTCATCATCTCAAAAAAAAAAACAACTATGTACCCTTTTGCTATTGTCCCCCTCTCTCTCATCCATCCCAAACCTAAGCAACAACTAATCTACTCTTTTTCTCTATTGGTTTGCCTATTCTGGACTTTCATATAAATGAAATCATAAAAATATGTGTGTGATCTTTGGTAACTGGCTTCTTTCAAGATTCATCCATGTTATAGTGCTAAAAGGGTCATCTGTCATAGCAAGGTTCATCCATATTATGGCACTTCCATGTGTCAGTTTCCATGTGTTCATCCATGTGTCAGTGCTTCATTTCGTTTTATGGCCAAATAATATTCTGTTATATAGATAAATCACATTTTATTTATCCATTCATCAGCTGATGAACATCTGGATTGCTTTCACCTTTTAGTTATTATGAATAATGTTGCTATACACATTTGTGTATAGTGTGTGGACATTTTGTGTAGATGTATTTTTTTCATTTCTCTTGGTCATATACCTAGAAGCTGAATCACTGGGTCACAGGGTAACTCAATGTTTAACTGTTTGAGGAGATATCAGACTTATTTCAAGATGGCCACAGCATGTTATATTCTCTCAAGCAATGTATGAGTGTTCCAATTTCTTGGAACACTCATACATTGCTTCCTCACCAACATTTGTTATTATCTGACATTTTTATTATAGCTTTGATCCTACCTCAATCCATTATATATCTCTCACTCTACCATCACTACCTATGTAAGCTTATGTCTTTTCTGAGTTTTGTTTTGTTTGTTTGTTTTTCTTTTTCCTTAAAGGCATGGTGTGAGGAAAAGAAAGGGGCAAAGAATCTGTCAACTTTCAATTTTTAGTAGGAAAATAACCTTTATTTAAAAAATAATCTATTTAAAAGGCCATGTGTATATCTTAACCACAAACAGAAAGACAATGAAAGATGCGATTCCAGCTTCCCAAGAGCTGAAGGTCGGCAGCAAGCTTCGTCAGCAACAAAAAAGCTACAGGTTGGACCACAACAAGAAAAGTTACTAAGAACTCAAATCACATAAAACTCGAGATCACCTTGCCGGGACCGGTTTGGCTCAATGGATAGAGCGTTGGTTTGGGGACTGAAAGGTCCCGGGTTCGATTCCGGTCAAGGGCATGTACCCTGGTTGCGGGCATATCCCCAGTAGGGGGTGTGCAAGAGGCAGCTGATAGATGACTCTCTCTCATCGATGTTTCTGACTCTCTATCTCTCTCCCTTCCTCTCTGTACAAAATCAATAAAATATCTTAAAAAAAAAAAAAAAAAAAAAAACTCGAGATCACCTCTCCTAACCTGAGCAACAGTGATAACAGGAGAGTGCCTCAGACACTTTAGCACTTTACAGTGCTGGCTTATTAAAATAATCATCATTACTGAGCACTTAGTTTTCCAGGAAAATGTGTTCCAGATGCCTTTTATGATAGACATAAACTAACCTGTGAAATACAAGCCATCATGATTTTGGGGTTTCCCGCAGCCTATATGTTGTTCATAACAAACATTCATTCAAGCAGCTTATAAGCCAGAGGTAATATACCATATGATGAATATCATAAAAATGATCCGTATATTTTTTAGAACAGAAATTCAAGAACTTTGCACAGAAAAAGCATACTAAAAATGAGGTTACTGATCTAACATATCCATTAACTCCTACATTTAGTCTATAGAAACAATAAAAGATTGTTGAAGACTTGTAAAATAACAAAAGAATTATAGGCATATCTGATAACAATATAAAGAAATTATTCTAATGCACTTTATGCAATTTTGTATTCTTGAATATGCTAATTTCTAAGCTGAAGTATTAATAACTACATATAATTACCACCAACATTTCTGTTAAAAAAATAAAACTGCAGAATACTATAGTTGTGAAGTACTCTCTCTGAAGTTACGTTACACTATATTCTTTACCAAACTTTCAAAACTATGTACTAGACTAAATTCTGAGTGAAATGTTTTCAAAATAATCTTAAATATTATCATCTAAACCATGAATCAAAAACTGCTTACTATTTTACATTCAAAGGTTCTAATTCAATTAACAAGATCTTAAGACCTACTGTTACCTCGCTTACAACCAAAAGCGCATTCACAAGTGTGCACTCATTCCTTTTTCATCTAACATTGCACTGTCATAATAACGTAGCTCTGACCTTCAGGGTGGAGTCCACGTACGGGTCCTCCTCACGAGCGGCCGCCGCGCTGCACCGCACTGTGAAACACTGCAGGTTGTTACTGAGGAAGAGGAAAAAGGCCGCTTAGCAAAGTGGAGGCCAAAAATGTGTCCATAGCTGGGAGAATTTTACAGGTGAACAGAACTATGGCCAAGATGGAAGATGTAAGAATCTGTCAAATGCTGATGAGGTAGAATGCTTATCAAGGAGAGTCCTCGAATCCCTGTAGTGTATTTTTTAAAATGTAACTGGTCCTCTCCTTACTCCTATTGAATCATAATTTCTAGGGGCTAAATCCAGACATGTGTGTCTCCACAGAATTCTACATTTGGCTCTGGTATACACCCCTAGTTAAGAACCAGGAATCTAAGTCAAATAGTCTCATTTTACAGACAAATGATGCCACCAGGATCAGTCCAGGGTACAGAGAATTCAATATCAAAGCCAAAATTAGAACCCAAATTTTTGACTATTATCTCTATCCCACTCATCTCAGGATAAAATTGAGCTTGGATTATGCCAGACAACACACTTGATGCAAACACAAATCCAGTGGTAGAATAGAAAATCAGAGGCTGTCTGATGGAATGTTCAAGTATTATCAATCCAGCAGCGTGTTTTAAAGATTATGGCATGGAAAGTTCATGACTGGTCCAAGGCCTCCCTAGAGAATAGAGCAAAATTAGATCCCATGTCTCCTCACTCCTCACACTCCTCTATCTCTTTCCACAACCCCAGGCTACTTCTGTGGAAATAACCCATGGACCCTACAGTAAGTGCACAATAGATGCCTGGTGATTGATGGCTACGTCAGCACTGCAATTAAAAACAGTTAACTTAGAAATTGCTACAAAACCTATCCTGTAGTGAATTCACAAAATTGATTTTTTTAAAAACAAACCAAAAAGTGGGAGAAGTGAAAATGAACTTTGATCTGGCCAGTGTGGCTCAGTGGTTGAGCATCAACCTATGAAACAGGAGTTCAATTCCTAGTGAGGATATATGCCTGGGTTTGTGGGCTCCATCCCCAGTGTGGGGCATGCAGGAGATAGCTGATCAATGATTCTCTCTTATCATTAATATTTCTCTCTCTCTCTTCCTCTCCCTTCCTCTGAAATCAATAAAAATGTCTGTTAAAGAGAAAATGAACTCTGATAAAATAAAAAGGCGAAAGACTAAAGCAAATCTAACAATAATTTGCACAATGTAGGGAAGGGGCATCAGTCAAGGCTCTCTCCATCTGTTTGTTGGGGCTTCCACTTCAGCCTCAGCCCACTGCCACTTCTGTCGATTTCCACAAAGTTCTAGGACATGATCTCTAAAGCCATGACAACAGCACCACCACTTAGAAATTTAGAGTAGAGAGCATTCTCAGGAATTAAAATGATTAGAAGGTTCTTAGAGACAATGAGGAACAAAACAGCACCCACAGTGGGGCCAGAATAACCAAAAGTCTAATAATGAAAGTAGTGGGTTACTCTTAGGGTTTATAGTAGTGGTTTTAACCTTTCTAATGCCACGACCCTTTAACACAGTTCCTCATATTTTGGTGACCCCCAACCATAAAATTATTTTTGTTGCTACTTCATATCTGTAATTTTGCTACTGTTATGAATCGTAATGTAAATATCTGTTTTCTGATGGTCTTAGGGGATCCTGCTAGAGGTTCTCAACCTGTGGGTCTCGAACCACATGCTGAGAACCACTGGTCTAGAGTTAAAAAGATTGGCTCCTCTGACTCCCCTCCACTTCAGCTTCTGGCTACTGTTGGAGCACAAAGGAGCACCATAAAAAATTAAAGTGAACTGAAATGTGCTGCCTGGAAACATGTTCAGGACATGCTGCTAATCATGCTGAACAGTGGATATATGATCCACTCCTGTGAAAAACAAATCATAGTAGTATTGTTTTTTTAAGTCAAAGAAACATGTTGATGTGGTTGATTCTGAGAACTAGGACTCATTTATGCATTGCTATAAGGGTGACATTTTGCATGATTTTATATTCTTATATTAAAATCTCTTCTATTGCTTTTTTTAAGGGTCTATAAACATACTGATATGCAAAATCACATGACTTACACTTAAAAGAGGATGGGGGGTTAGAGGGTCCACTCAGTAAATTCTATGTCCTGTAACATCGGTGCCATGAGATGGAGGAAAGATGGATACTCTTTGCATCAATATTTTGGGGGAAAATTGATATTTTATTCCTTCTTTCTTCCTCTATTTTTTCCCTTTGTTTCTGAGATGCTATAATTTTCTGGGTTTCTCCATATCCTTGAAAATTCTTCTCTTCCTCTTCTTGCTTCATAAATGTGACCTTCACCAGACTTTTATTTTTTGTTTTTTTTGCTTTTTTCCCCCATTTTTTAAAATAAGATATATCTTACCATTGCCCCCCCACCCCACCCCACTTCACTCCCATAGTTGCCCTCTAACCACAGTGGTTTGCTTCCATTGCTTATGCTTATATGCATGCATACAAGTCCTTCTGTTGATCTCTTATCTCCCCCTCCTCTCCCTAACCTTCCCACTGTAATATAACAGTCTCTTTGATGCTTTATTGCCTCTGTATCTATCTTTTGTTCATAAGTTTATAATGTTCTTTATTATCCACAAATGATTGATGATGTGGTATTTTTCTTTGATTGACTGGCTTATTTCACTTAGCATAATGCTCTCCAGTTCCATTCAGGTCCCTGCAAATGGTAAGAATTCCTTCTTTTTTTATGGCAGCATAGTACTCCATTGTACAGATGTACCAAAATTTTCTGATCCAGTAATCTGCTCACAGGCACCTAGGATATTTACAAATATTAGCTAATGTAAATTGTGCTATGAACATTGAAGTGCATATATCCTTTCTGATTGGTGTTTCTAGTTTCTCAGGATATATTCCTAGGAGTGGGATTACTGGGTCAAATAGGAGTTCCATTTTTAGCTTTTTGAGGGAACTCCATACTGTTCTCCACAGTGGTTGCACCAGTCTGCATTCCCACCAGCAGTGCACGAGGGTTCCTTTTTCTCCACATCCACACCAACACTTGTTTAATTTGTTGATGATAGCCATTCTGACAGGTGTGAATGGTACCGCGTTGTCTATTTTGATTTGCATCTCTCAGATAATTAGTGACTTTGAGCATGTTTTCATGTGTTTGTTCGCCTTCCTTCTTTTTTAAAAAATATTCTATTTAGGTCCATTGCCCATTTTTTTATTGAATCACTTATCTTCCCTTTATAAAGTTGTATAAGCTGTCTGTAGATGTTGGAATTAAAACTTTATCAGTGATAACATTTGCAAATATGTTCTCCCATAAAGTGAGCTTTCTTATTGTTTTGGTGATGGTTTCTTTTCTGTGAAAAAGCTTTTTATTTTGATGTAGTCCCATTTGTTTATTTTCTCTTTAGCTTCCATTGCTCTATGGGTAGTATCGTTTTGTATTATTTCTTTGGTTTCTATGTTGATTATCTCTACTCTAATTTTTATCATTTCCTTCCTTCTGCTTACACTGGGCTTTTCTTTTTGCTCTTTTTATAACTCTTTTGAGTTGTAGGGGTAGGTAATTTATTACCATTGTTTGTTTTTCGTAATAGGCTTTTAGAGCTATGAACTTCCCACGTGACTGCTTTTGCTGTGTCCCATAGATTTTGGATTGCTGTGTTTTCATTGTCATTTGTTGCCATGATGTTTTTTTATTTCTTCCTTGATCTCTTTGGTAACCAGGTCATTGTTTAGTAGCATGTTATTTAGTTTTATTTTAGTTGATTTCTAGTTTTATGCCACTGTAACCTGAAAAGATGCTTGATATGATTTCTATCTTCTAGAATTAGAAGGGACTTTGCCTATGACCCAACATATGGTATATCTTTGAAAATGACCCATGTACACTTGAGAAAAATGTATATTCTATGGCATTGGGATGAAATGTTCTGAATATTTCAATTAATTCCATCTGGTCTAGTGAGTCATTTAAGATTGATGTTTCTTTGCTTATTTTTTTTGTTTGTTTAGAAGATTTGTCCAATGGTGATAGTGGGGTATTAAAGTCCGCTCCTATGATTGTATTGCTGTCAATCTCTCTCTTGATATCCTCTAGCAGTTTTTTTTTTGTTTGTTTGTTTTTTATGTATTTGGGTGCTTCTGTATTGGGTGTGTACATGTTTACCCGAGTTATCTCTTCTAGTTGAATTGTTCCCTTTAGTATTATGAAGTGGCCTTCATTATCTCTTGTTATGTCCTTCACTTTGAGATCTAATTTGTCAGATATAAGTATTGCTACCCCACCTTTTTTTTCATTTTCAATCACCTGAAAAACCTTTCTCCATACCTTCACCCTCAGTCTGTGTCTTTTTTTCTGATGTGGGTTTCTCATAGATAGCAGATATAAGGGTCATGTTTTCTTATCCACTCAGCTACCCTGTGTCTTTTGAATGGGGCACTTAATGCATTTACGTTTTTGTTTTTGTTTTTTTAAATATATTTTATTGATTTTACACAGAGAGAAATTGAGAGGGACAGAGAGTTAGAAATGTCGATGAGAGAGAAATATCGACCAGCCGCCTCTTGCACACTCCCCACAGGGGATGTGCCCGCAACCAAGGTACATGCCCTTGACAAGAATCGAACCTGGGACCTTTCAGTCCGCAGGCCGACGCTCTATCCACTGTGCCAAACCAGTCCCGGCTGCTTTTACGTTTGAAGTTATTATTGATAGGTACTTATTTGTCACCATTCTTATTCTTTACCCAAGTGTTCCTTCTTTGCTTCTTTTTTTTTTTTTTTTTTTTTTTTACAACAGACCCTTTAGCATTTCTTGCATTTCTGGTTTGGTGGTAATAAATTCCCTTATCCTTTTTTGTCTGTGAAGCTCCTGATTTCACCTTCAATTTTGATTGATAGCCTTGCTGACTACAATGTTCTTGGATTCAGACCCTTACTTTGCATGACTTTGTATATTTCATTCCATTCCATTCTGGCCTAATGAGTTTCTGTTGAGAAATCAGTTGCTAGTCTGATGGGGATTCCTTTGTAGGTAACTTTCTGTCTCTCTATGGCAACTTTTAAGATTCTTACTTTGTCATTGGTGTTTATCAATTTAATTATAATGTGCCTTGGCATCGGTCTTTTGGGGTTCATTTTGCTTGGGACTCTGTGAGCTTCTTGGATTTGTGTGGGTTTTTTCTTCCCTATATCAGGAAAGTTTTATGTCATTATTTCTTCAAACAGGTTTTCTATTCATTGCTGTTTCCTCTCCTTCTGGAACCCCTATTATGTGGATGTTGTTTTGTTTTGTTTTATCCCAAAGTTCCCTTAGGCTCTCCTCCTGCTTTTTAATTTTTTTTTTCTAGAAGCTGCTCTACTTGGGTATTTTTTCCCCCCACCTTGTCTCCTAGCTATCTTATGCGGTCCTCTGCTTCTTCTCATCTATTCTATTTATATAATCAGCTCTTTTTTGATCATAATAAAACATCTAAGTTTTTCTCCGCCTTCCAACTATCCCATGTGAAACCAATATTTCAATTCTCTTACCGAAACCTCTCCCATCTGTTCTGCTTTCTCTTCTCATTGCTATTGCCCTACCCAAACTCAGTTCAGTATCGTTACCTGAGCCACTTCAATAGTTTATCTATGTTCAATCCAACCTCCATAATAGCCACTATTAATTTTCCTAAAACAATGCTCTGACCACATCACTTTCTTTGGTCACAACCTTAAAAAATCCTTAGTTTAATTTTCAAAGCCTGAGTTACTCACTACACAACACTTTGGAAATTTAAAAGACTAGCTACCTCCTCAATTTTCATTTAGGAAACACACAATAACATTTCTTCTTACACCAGAGAGTGGGAGAAGAAGGGAGCACCCACACTAGGAGTCGGCATCAAATCTCCAGGTGGGTCTTGTGCTGTTTCAAATATATTCTAGCACGTGGTGGAGATTCTGATACCACCACTCAGTTGGGGAAAAAAAAAAAAAAGAAAAAAAAGAAAGAAAGAAAAAATTACTATCCTTAAAAAAAAAAAAACTTAATTAACAGTATATTATTGGTTGCTCCTGCAAAACTGTATAACATACTCTTTGTTTATAGTCTTCCCTCCATAATGCCCTTCTCTTCCAATCTCAATCTGTCAAATTCTAAGTAGCTCTCAGGCCACACTTCAAACATAAAAAACTTGCCCTTATGACTTAGCCCAAGTAATTTCTCTCCTCCCAGTGTCTACCACCATTATGAAGTCTTAAGACATTTTTCACAAATCTCGTAGTGTTTGTGCTCTGGTTATCTCTGGCCCCCTCTATTTTATTGCTTTAGAAAGCAGATGGTATACCTTATTCATATTTGCTCACCCAGAAGGCACAAATGTAAGTGCCTTGCACATAATCTAAGCTTAAAAAAAAAAAAAGGAAATAAAACCAAAAGCATCACTTATAGTTGAAATAAAGGAAATGAGGTCAAAGTCCTGATCAGGACCCCAGTTTAGATGCCAGCAAACCAGGATAAGGCAACTCAAAAGACACCTGCCAATTAGCAACATGACCTTGACCAATTTCAACCTCTGGACTACTTCCCCATCTGCACCAATGAAAAGTACAATCAGTGTTTCTGGCCCCTTAATAGTTACAATCATTATGGAATAATTCAACTCATACAGAAAAGATATAGTAGCACTGAAAAAAAAAATTAGGACTAGAAATCTAGAGATACCCTGAAAGGCTCCACTGACTTTTCATTAGAATTCCCTATAAAAATCTTCCTCATGAAGAACCTTCTTCTTTCTTACAAAGATCCCCATCCAGTCTCAGAAAGTTAAAAAAGGCAAAACCAGAACACTTATAATACACTAAAAAGGCAGATATGGGCTATCAAAAGGCAAATATATACATTAATTTTCAGAGCTACATATTGGTTCACTCAATTCTTACTTAGGTTTGGAAAGCACCTCAAGAATTTACAAAAAATAAGTGACTCAAAGGCCAACAACTATAACATACCTTGTGATGACATGCAAAAATTGTGGCGTGAGTACTGCTTGTTGAGACTTCTCAGGATATTGGTAAACTGACATTAATTCAACTGATTTGACCACTAGGTAAAGGTAGCCCACATGAGGCAATGAGAAAAAACAAAAGAGACTCAGCAACTTCTTTTCCTGAGACAAATTTTTTCTCTCAGAAGTAAGAGAATCTGTATGAAAAAGAAAAAAAAAACAATAAAACCAGCAAATAAAGGGAAGCAATATTTTTACTTTTCTAGGCAAAAAAAAACCTATTAGTAGAAAACGAAGAGCTTTTTAGGAGAAGTTGCTCTTTATAGAAGAATGCCAGTAAGAAATTAAAAAGGAGTGATATAATTAGAGTGTCACCATGTTGTAACTCCTAATAAAGGAACAGAGCTAGGTAATAATCATTAATGGCTATTAATATTACAAAAAAAGTCAACCAGATTCTATGTACCTTTCAACAGAACTCAACACTACTTGTGTAACATAATAATGATGATAATGATGATGATGATGATGATCAAGACTAAGTATAGACTAGCACTGTCAACAGAAATGTGTAATTTAAAGTTTCCCAGAAATCACATTTACAAAAGTAAAAGCAGGCAAAATACATTTAATATGTCATACTAACCAATATAATCGAAACATCATTTCAACAAGCAATCAACAAAAATATAATGAAGTGTTTTATATTCTTTTCTTTTTTTGTAGTAAGTCTTGAAGATCTAGTGTAAATTTTATATTTACAGAATATTTCAATTTAGACTCATGACATTTCAAGTGTTCAATAGCAACATGTCACTAATGGCTACCATAATGAAAAGTGTACCTTTAGATAGAACTACCAAGCCAGTTGTGGCTCAGTGGCTGAGAATGGGCCCATAAACCAGGAGAACATGGTTTGACTCCTGGTCAGGACACATGTCCCAGTGGCGGGCTTGATCCCCAGTAGGAGGTGGACTGATCAATATTTCTCTCATCAACGCTTCTATCACTCTACCCCTCTTCCTTCCTCTCTCTAAAATCAATAAAAAAATTTTAAAAAGATAGAACTACCAAATCACAGGGAAATACAGGAAAATATTTAATGACACTGTGGGGAGTTAACTAGCAAAATTAAGATTGTGGGAAACTCTACAGTTATCAGTCCAGTTTCTTGCTAAATAAATTGCGAAGAAAAAAAGAGGAAGGAAGAGACAGCCTACATATTAAAAGAGACTTTATCTCTAGCTGGTTTGTCTCAGTAGATAGAGTATTGGCCCTCAGACTGAAGGATCCCGGGTGTGATTCTGGTCAAAGGCATATTACCTGTTTGCTGGCTCATTCCCCCACCTCCTTTCAGGCGTGTGAGGGAAGCAACCAATCAAGGTAGCCAATAGATGTGTCTTTCTCATATCAATGTTTCTCTCAATCTCTGTCTCCTCCCTTCTACTCTCTCTAAAAATCAGTGGAAAAATATCCTCTGGTGAGGCTTAACAACAACAACAACAACAAAAAGAGTGAAAGACAAGAAATTTTAAAGACATAACAACCAATTGTGATATATGAAACAAACAAATGAATCTGATCCAAACAAATGAATTAACGAAAAAAATTTTAGACAATTAGAGAAAACTAAACACTAACTAGATATTTGATGATATCAATGACATTTTTAAAATGTGAAATGGGCCTGGTTTGTGTGGTTCAGTAGCTGAACTTAGATCCATAAAACAGGAGGTCACAGTTCGATTCTTGGTCAAGCACATGTCCAGATTGCTGGTTGAATCCTCAATGGAGGGTATGCAAGAAGCAGCCAATCAATTTGATTTTTTCTTATCATTGATGTTTCTATCTCTTTCTCCCTTCTCCACTACCTCTAAAAATCAATAAAAATCAGGCAAAACTAGAACACTTATACTAAAAAGGCAGATATGAGTCATCAAAAGGCAAATACACTTTAAAAAAATTTCAAATACACTTTGAAATGGTATTTTGGGTTTGTTTAAATCAAAGAATCCTTTTCTTTTAGAAATACAAACTGAAATATTTATGGATGGAATGGTATAAACTCTAGAATTTTCATCAAAATAATCTGGCAGGGAGTAATCACAAAACAATACTATTGAAGTTGAGTGATGGGTTCATTGTACTATTTTCTCTATATCTATATGCTTGAAATTTTTCATAATCAAATTTTTTTTTTTAAAGTTGGCTCTGGTTGATACTCTTCAAAGACACTCATTAATAACAGAAGAAAGTCCAATTCTGCATTCTCCAAAATTGGCCCAAAACATGTCCATTTATTTCTAACTCCTTTCCTACACACATCTGTGCTCTAGTCAGACATAATAGCTCATTAATCTCCAAATACTTTTGTACCTTGTTCCTCTTATGTAATATCTCACTAAAATCTCCATTTCTTAAAAGTTCTACTCATACTTTAAGGCTCAGCTCAAATATGTACTACCCTTCCATTTGCCTATTAAACATTCATCACATACCTACTAAATGCCACTGTTCGCGGTTTGGGGGATACAACAGTGCACAAGACAAGCTAACAGCATTCATTCTAGTAATGGGGACTGGAGTAGAGACTAAACAAACTGGGTAGTATGTGGAGATAGAATAGTTTAAATTGAGAGTTCAGGGAAGTCCTCTGTAGTTAGGCGACACTTGAGCTGTAAGGCATGCAAGATTTTGGGAAAGTACATCAGCCCTTGAAGACTAAGTAACAAAGCCTTACACAAGAGAGCACTTGGCCTTACTGAGGATGAGAGAACGGCCATATGGATGATAACAGTAAGCAGGGTGAAAGGGACAAGATAAGCACAGAATCAGAATCATGTAGAAATATGGGTTTTTATCCCAAGTGCTATGGGAAGCCACTGAATAGAGTTTACACACTAACGTGGCTATGGGCCCTGTCTTGTCTCCAGCCTGGGCTCCCAACCCCCTCTTCCTAGCTTGACTCTCTATGGTCTTGCTTCTCTCAGTTCCTCAAACAAGATTTGGCCTCCACCACACCTTTGCCACTTTTTCTGCATCATATCCCCAAATCAGCACCATTTCACTCTAGAGATTTCTTTCTCAAGAAGCCTTCTTTGACCACTAGATGAGGTTAGGATTTTTTGTTATAGGCTTTCAAGACAGGTTTTGTTTTGTTCCCCTCCTCCCTCCCCCCCCCCCCCACCTGTCGCCAACAGAGCGCTCATTTCAGCATGTTTTTTTTTTTGTGTGTGTGATTATTTGACTAATAATCATCTATCTCCCCCATGAGACCATAAGCTCCATGAGTATAAATACTTTGCCTAATTTTGCTTATTATTAGTTCCCTAGAGTTCAGCACCATGTCCAGCATAGTATTCAATAAATGTTTAGTAAAGCAAATAAAAAAATAAATGAAGGTATAAACCTATTTAATCAGAACAATATTTATACCTTTCTCTAGGCAACATCTAAAAATGTTAAACAGGAGAGAAACCAAGATGGTGGAATAGGTAAGTACCTAAACTGCTACCTTGCACAACAATTTCAAAACTACAAGTAAAAGACAAAATGGACATCATCCAGAATCACAGGAAGGCTGGCTGAGTGGAAATTCTACAACTAGAAGGAAAGAGAAAAGCACACTGAGACTCAGAGGAGCTGCAGAAAGCTGAGGTAAGGAGACGTGAGCACGGAGAAGACTGGGGGCTGAGTACGCGGCTGGCTTTCTCAAGCAGGAAGGAGACAAAAGCTCCCAACTGCTCTGAACTCCAGTTCTGGGTGAGACTTTGGGAACCCAGCCTCATTCAGGGGGAATCTGGACTATAAGGAAAAGAGAAAAGCACACTAAGACTCAGGGGAGCTGTGAAAAGGAGAGGTCCAGGGGCACATGCACGCAGAGAGTGTGAAGCTGAGTGTGAGGCTGCCTTTCTCAAGTGGGAGCGAGACAAAAGCTCCCGACTGCGCTGAACTCCAGTTCCGGGCAAGACTCTGGGGACCCAAACTCATTCGGGAAAAACTGGACTGTCTGGCAGCGGGTGAAACTCGAGGGCGGCTTTCTCTCAAAGGTGTTTGCAGCAATTACTGAGGCACACTGAGACCCAGGGGCCTCATAGGGCAGGGCTGACAGGAAAACAAGACTGTTTGCTCAGCCCTGAGACTCCGCCCCCATCTAAGCTCAACACAGAGGCTTTTGCAATTTTGTAAGTCTTGTTTCATAAGGGTGTCTCCAGCACAACAATTCTCCCGGTATAGACAATCCTCACAGCCAATTGGTCTGAAGGTCAACTCCTCCCACTTATACCAACAACAATCAAGACTTAACTACAACAAGGCTGTACACACAATCCACAAAGGGGTGCAACAAGAGTATCCACCTCAGATAACTGGAGAGGCCGAGCCATTGGTCCATGTAGGACACCTAGCACACAAAGCTACCCTACCAACTCAGGGAAGCAGCGAAAATGTAGAGACAAAGAAACATATCACAAAATAAAGAAATGGAGGAAAATAAATGAATGGAGATAGAGTTCAAAACCACAGTTATAAGGTTTTTCAAGAATTTCCTAGAAAAGGCCAATAAATTTAGTGAGACCCTCGAGGATATGAGAGAGACCCTCAAGGATATGGAAAAGGACCAACTAGAAATTAAACATACACTATCTGAAATAAAAAATATTATACAGCCGGGACCGGTTTGGCTCAGTGGATAGAGTGTCGGCTTGGGGACTGAAGGGTCCCGGGTTCGATTCCGGTCAAGGGCATGTATCTTGGTTGCAGGCATATCCCCAGTAGGGGGTGTGCAAGAGGCAGCTGATCGATGACTCTCTCTCATCGATGTTTCTAACTCTCTCTCTCTCTCCCTTTCTCTCTGTATAAAAATCAATAAAATATATTTAAAAAAATATATATTAAACAGACACCCAACAGCAAACTAGAGGAATACAAGAATCAAGTCAAAGATTTGAAATACAAAGAAGCAAAAATCACTCAACTGGAAAAGCTAAAAGAATCCAAAAATTTGAAGATAGTGTAAGAAGCTTCTGGGACAACTTCAAGCATACCAACATCAGAATTATGGGGGTGCCAAAAGAAGAGAGAGAACAAGATATTAAAAACCTATTTGAAGAAATAATGACTGGAAACTTCCCCTACCTGGTGAAAGAAATAGACTTACAAGTCCAGGAAGCACACAGAACCCCAAACAAAAAGAATCCAAAGAGGACCACACCAAAACACAACATAATTAAAATGCCAAGAGCAAAAGACAAACAGAATCTTATAAGTAGCAAGAGAAAAATAGTTACCTACAAGGGAGCACCCATACAATTGTTAGCTGATTTCTCAACAGAAACTATGCAGGCCAGATAGGAATGGCAAAAAATATTCAAAGTGATGAATAGCAAGAACCTACAACCAAGAGTACTCTACCCAGCCAAGCTGACAGAATTGAAGGTCAGATAAAGAGCTTCACAGGTAAGAAAAAGCTAAAGGAGTGCATCACCACCAAACCAGTATTATATGAAATGCTGAAAGGTATTCTCTAAGAAGAGGAAGAAGAAAAAGGTAAAAAGAAAAATAATGAACAACAAATACACATCTGTCAACAAGTGAATCTAAAAATCAAGTGAATTAAAAATCTGATGTACAGAATAAACTGGAGAATATAATAGAATCAAGGGCATAGAAAGAGAGTGGACTGACAACTCTCAGGGGGAAAGGGGTGTTGGGGTACGGGAAGAATCTGGACAAAAATTGTACACCTATGGATGGGAAAAGTGAGGGGGAAGTAAAGGAAGAGGGTGGGATGGGAACCAGGTGGAGGGTAGCTATGGGGAGGGGGGGGGAGAGGAACAACTGTAATAATCTGAACAATAAAGATTTACTAATTAAAAAAAAAGATTTTAAAGCTACAGGAAAACTCAGTAGAAGAACCTAACCTATTACACACATTATTATTCCTCCAAGCAGAGCCTTTTACCTCACTGCACTGTATCTTGATCATACTTACCTGTTTGGTAAATGGGTAGCAGCTGAAGTGAATGCAACTTAATGTCATCAGACAAGACATAGGACGAAATATCAGGAGCAAAACGTCTGTGAGTTTAAAAAGACAGAGAGAGATCGAATTTCCATTTACTTTAAATAGGTAAATATATATTAAATGCTGGTGAATAAAAAACTTTCTAATACCTATAGAGCAGATGCTGAACATGGAAATATTTTATTTTTTCATCGTCTAATCCCGTTGGCTCCAGTGTAACAGATACTCCAGACTGCTCACTATTTTTTCCAATAAGTTCCATTGGCTTCTGGCAGATAACAAAATCATCTGACTCAAGTTGCAAATTTTCATTATTGGTGCCTTAAAAAATAATATTGAAGAAAAGAATTCAACAAGTCCAAATGCTACTTGAATAAAATTACATTTCACAATATCTTCCATCAATTAAATAGACAAGGAGTAATGTTACTTATTTATATAAACACACACTTCATGTATTAACAAGGCACTATGTTTCTGAAGTCTTAACACTCACTCATTTATTTCTCACAATAACTGATCAACACAACAGGATTTATTATCATCCCCATTTTACACATGAGAAAACTAAAACCCAGAAATGGTATTCCAACCCCAAGCTCATTCAACTAATAAATATAAGAACTGGGACTACAAACTCCTCATCAAACAGTTGATCCATTATTTCTATTGACAAATATTAATGAAATGTATTGCATGCTACAGAATAAAATCACAAACCCAATCCCATGTTTTAGGAATAACTCAATCTACACATAATGTGGCTTGGCAATATACAATATATGAAGCACTCATATCTTGTATGAATGCTTCAGAAATACACACACACACACACACACACAACAGAGTGCTTCAGAGATTGCCAGAAGAGAGGTTTACTCTATACCTAAGACAAGAAAGCAAAGTCATCATTTACCTTCTGCCTGTGTCATTGGACTGTTGGGCTCATGTGGATGGTGGTGAACACTCTCTCCATTTTTAGGGTTTGACTCCAGTTTTAGGATTAAGACTTCTAAGTCTGACATGGCGGCCACATATCCAACACAGAAAGAAATTTCAATGGGAGTTATATTATGTATGTGTATAATTAAAGAACGTTCAAAGTCCAGTACTGGGAATTCTTCATTAATAATCTGATACTTCAGACTAAATAAGACTAACTTATTTGTGCAGCCAACAAGAAGGTCTCCTTTCACAGGACAACAGGAAATGCACAAGGGGGTCTCAGAAAGGGGCATTTCAACAATAGACATCTGGTCTCTGAAGGTTTCTTGAAAAGGTGCCTCCACATTATGTCCAACCATTCGAATGCACACTCGAGAATTTTCAGTCCTTTTACTTCTCCAGTTCACATAAGCACGTAGAAATGTAGTTTGGTTTTTCTCTTCAATTGCTACCAAATAGTCTCCTGAGAAGGAAATAAGATTATACTTAGAATTTGTAATTAGAAACAACCATTTACCTTGCATCAAGAAAAGAGCACATGCCTGGGTTGTGGGCTTGATTCCCAGTAGGGGGTATGCAGGAGGCATCCAATTAATGATTCTCTCTCATCACTGATATTTCAAACTCTCTCCCTCTCTTTTCCTCTCTGAAATCAATAAAAATATTTTTTAAAAAGGCAGAAATAATATACATCAAAATATGTTTTATGACTTAAAATTTCTCCCTAACACCCCCAAATCTTATCAAAGAAGAATAGCACCCAATTAGAGATTAAAAAAATAACACAATAAAGCTGAAAATGTTTACTGCTTGAGGACTGCAAAGCATTTACAGTAAATATAGGGTGGGACAAACATAGGTTTACAGTTGTGAGTACACAAAAGTTTATTCTAGTATTATTAATTATTAATTACTAGAGGCCCAGTGCATGAAATTCGTGCATGGGGGGGAGGGTCCCCCCATCCTGTTCTTGGCCTGCAAAGACACCAGCATTCCTCACCTGGCCTCTAGCCAGAGGTTCCTCCCCTTCTTCCACACAGCCTCTGGGAAGATGCTTATCCTGGGGCCACCTCAGGGCCCTGGCCCATGCTTTCAGGCTTCCTTGTCTGGCTGTGCATCAGCTGCCATGGGAGCCTTGCCTCAGGAGTCGCCCCCCTTGGGCGATACTACTTGCAAGTGTGTGTGTGGGAGCGGCCTCGGCAGCAGTGATTTGATGTCTGTAGCTTGCTTGTAGGACACACACCTCTTCCTCACCCCCTCCCTGCAGTGCCATGCTGGTCCCGTCTGGACTGCTGGCAGGGGGCATCCAGTCTGCGACTGGAGCTGCTGGGCTGCAGGTGTAGGACCTTGGCACCCACAAGGCTCTTTCAGCATGGCGACCCCACAGGCTCCTTCCCTCCTGCTGCATGGCCGGCCAGGGCGTGGACGCTGGGCTCAAGACCCCACAGGCCTCTTCCTTCCCGCAGCACGGCAGGCCCGGCGCAAACTCTGAGCTCACGGCCCCAGAGGTCCCTTCTCTCCCACAGCACAGCCTTGGCTCCGATGCTGAGCTTGACTCAGTGTCCCACTCCCAGTCCTCTGGCCAGCGACCTCTCCCTTCCAAGGAGCGCATGCTGGGCTCCCATTGCCTGGGCGATGCCTCCAGCAGCTGCTATGAGCGCCGCCATTTTTGCCATGGAGTGATGACTAATTTACATGTTATTCTTTTATTATACAGGATTGCATTTTCCATATGAAGAACTGTAAACCTACTTTTTGCCCACCCCATATAAATGGCTGATATGAGATTCATTCTGTTTTTGACGGGGGATTTGCCTACAAAGGAAGTTACTGTGAATGGGAGGAAAGAACACCAAAAGGTAAAAGCTGAGATATGGAAGACAAGTTATCTGGATATCGCATAGCTAGGAGTTAGCTATGTGTAGACTAATAAAAGTTGTACCCAGCAACTGAAGTTCAAGCAAGGACTGAAAGTTACCCTTGAGCTATAAAACCATGCTAATACATTCCACATGACTCCGGAACTTCCTTTAAGATAGCAACCAGATTATAAAAACATCTTTGATTTCAAGGCCTCATTAATGATGTCACCATCCTACTCACTGCCTATAGTGGCCAGTATGGCTCTAGGTTAGTGGTTCTCAATCCTGGGTAAATATTAGACTCACCCCAATGCTGGGCCACACCTCAAAAAACTGACACTGGTCTAGGCATTGGTATTGTGGATGAAAAGGGGCCACGTGCTAACCTGACTAGCTCAGGAAAGTCCTATGTGGCAACTTTGCAAACTCAAGAGACTTAAAGTAACCACAAAGAAAAAAAATTTTTAAAAATAAAGTAACCACAAAGGATGGTATGAAATAAAAACTTTAATTAAAAAGCAGTCGATGGTGCCGAAACCGGTTTGACTGAGTGGATAAAGCATCGGCCTGCGGATTGAAAGGTCCTGGGTTCGATTTCGGTCAAGGGCATGTACCTTGGTTGCAGGCACATCCCCAGAAGGAGGTATGCAAGAGGCAGCTGATCGATGATTCTCTCTCATCGATGTTTCTAACTCTCTATCCCTCTCTCTTCCTCTCTGTAAAAAAATCAATAAAATATATTTAAAAAAAAAAAAAAAAAACTGTCGATGGTGGGTAGTCATGTCCCAGGCAAATATCTTCCCTGGCAAAGATCAATTTTGATTTTTACTGAGCCTATTGTCTTTTTGCACCTACATAACGTACTTGTGGAATGTCAGGGTAACTTGTAACTTCCCTTTTTCCAGACTCTTCAGAGCACCACCAATGTGCCAAGGCTCCAAGGTGGAGATCACAAACTCCTTCATTATTGTTATCATTAATTGTTGACTGTTAACTATTCTGTACCCACCTATGTAAAAGAAACATGTGCCCTAGCAGGTTTGGCTCAGTGGATAGAGCATCAGCCTGTGAAATGAACGGTGGTCCTGGGTTTTATTCTGGTCAAGGACACATGCTAGAGACTGTGGGCTTGATCCCTAGTGGGGCGTGCAGGAGGCAGCTGATCCATGATTCTTTCTCATCACTAATGTTTCTATCTCTCCCTCTCCCTTACACTCTGAAATTAATAAAAATATATTTTGAAAAAAATAAAAGCATGTGTCTATCATTTTAGTTTTTATCCAATCGCAGAGCTTTCCTCCCCTACCCCCCTTTTGCTTTCTCCTGACTCTCTAATCTATCACTAATGGATTTCATGTAACTGACTTTGTATGAAACAAGGTGAAAAACCACCATTATCTGGAGCATTATCTCAATACTTGAGATTCTGCTTCCCAGCAATTTTTGAGAGTTTGGCTCAAATAGACTCATAAAGTTCTTTACAGGTTTGAATGTTTCTTATGTTAACAGTATTTTTTAAAGCTTCCTCTAGGTAATTCTTATGTACTAGGATCCCTAGAATCACCACTACTGACAGTCAAGAAAGTTTAAAGTTTACAAAATGCTTGCCACTTTCAATTCTAGAATAAATGTCCATTTGGAAGAATGGATCAAATAACGTAAATAGGGCATTGCGCTCACGCTCTCACACACACAGTAAAGTAGAAACTGGTGAGTTTGACACTCAGTAGAGCTCTTAAAGGTGAGAACTTCTGTGCCTCAAGGGGGTTGGGTGGGAAAAGCTATCAATATTGTGAAATGACTGAAACTGATTTCATAAGAAATACCTAAATCAGAATCTTCTGCTAAAAGAAAACTTACAGATCTAAAAATGTTCAAACAGGTCCATGAATCATTGCAGGACCCTGTTAATATCTTCACTAGTCAAAAAGAAAAACTAATTACAGTGTAGTAAAGCAAAGACATCCAACATTTGGGACTGTTTTTACTTTTATAATTATAAATAATGTGACAGTAAATATAAGGATAAAATGAACAGATATGGCAGCCTCACAGTTTTTTACTGATCCACAGAATCCCAATGCCTGGAAATCACTGATCTAGTGATTCAACTGTTTTGTTTTTGTTTTGATTTTAACAGAAACTGAGATCCAAAAGTTTCAATGAACTCACACCTGCTGACAGAAAAGGGACTAGATGCTCTGCACTTCATTAGTAACGGAAGTGGTTCCACTGCAATACTAATATTTACACCTTTACACCTCTCTGAAAAAGGAGGAATTGAATTCTAAGTGTATTTTTTAGACAGTTTTTTAAAATCCTATGGTGAATCTTTTTGCAATCTGAAGTACCTGTTATTAAATGCTGGAGTTTTCTGAAATAGGGATATACACACCCACACAGTGCCCTGTTGGTACTCTTCACTTTTCTGGTGGAAAAATAACAGTGGATGCTGCTAAGCTGTTTGGAGGCAGAGGTGGGGTTGGGGATAGGGTAGGAGTGTGGGGATGGATGTGCGTTCTAAGAGGGGAGTTCTACGTTTATATTTTAAAATCATCATATAAGGTGAGTTTTCAAAAATCGACAGTGGCTATAGGTATAGGTGTAAGAGGGCTTGCCATGAGTTGGCCTAATTGTTGAAGCTGGGAGTACCTCGGGACTCAGGTTACTATTCTCCCTGCCTTTGTATGTGTTTGAAATGTAGTATGTGTTTGTTATTTTTTGAAGTGTCCGGGTTTCTTACAGTGAGTGGAACTCAGTTACCCAACCACAGGCTTTTCTGACGAGAGCATAAGAGGAGGCGCAGTCAGCATCCCCGCCCTCTAAAAGCAGGTCTCACCAGCCGTTGCCAGGACAACAGCACAGCTCAGCGCATTTTCAGTCACCAGCCGCCCACCACGCAAGACCTTCTGGCAAGTTCCCGGAAGCACGAAGACCCCTTCCCTCCCAGGCCTGCCGCCGGACGCTCGGTCCGCTGAAGGAAGCCCTAAGGAGGGGCCCAGGCGCCCTGGCCCCCTCGTTACTCACCGGCCTCGCTGTAGGCCAAGCGCAGCACCCGGCCCAGCGTGGAGAAGGCACACCGCGGCTGGCACAGCTCCTGTCCGGCCACCGCGAACGCCTCCACTTTGCAGCCCGCGGCCACGAACAGCGCGTCAGGGCCCCCGCCGCAGAACCGTTCGGGCTCCAGCTTGCAGGGCACCACCTGCTGCGACCCGAATGGGTGCAGATTATACAGCTGCACCATCCCGGCCACTGCTGCGGGCAGTCCGGGCGCCCGGGGACCCCGCGCCGGCTGCGGAGGCGGGACCAGGAGGCAGGACCACTTCCGTGAGCGACAGCGATCGCCGCCGCGTCACGTGAACGCCAGCCCGCCGCCGCGGCTCCGCCTCTTAAAGTGGCCGCTGCGGGGCCGGGCGGAGCTGGGGATGGAGGGGGTCACGGCCGCCAGCCCGCCCTGCGAAGGCCGAGGGCCAAGGTGCAGCGCTGGGACCCAGCGGTTAGCAGGCGATGTGCCGCCGTAATTCCCTTCGTCTCTTCACGTTACCGCTTTGGGCCAGGAGAGATTTTAGGCACTAGAATACGTTTTCACTTCTGCTCTCATGTACTATTTCCTGCTTGCTTCAGGGCCATCACCGATGTCCCCCACCCCCAACTGCACCCCTAGCCTTGAGCCTCTGGAGTGCAGCGCTGCAATAACTGAAGTGCTGTGCACACAGCGCAACTCGCTACCAAATAACAGGAGCTGTTCAGGAATACTTTAAATTCTAGAATGGTTTAGTTCCGTAGTTGGCAAACTGCTGCTCGCGAGCCAAGTGTGGCTCTTTGGCCCCTTGAGTGTGGCTCTTCCACAAAATACCACGGCCTGGGCAAGTCTATTTTGAAGAAGTTTAAGTTTAAAAAATGTGTCTCTCAGAAGAAATTTCAATCGATGTACTGTTGATATTTGGCTCTGTTGACTAATAAGTTTGCCAACCACTGGTTTAGTTGGAAAGAGCGATGCTTAGAACATGCTTGGCAAAAACAAAAACAAAAAAGTTTGCTGAATGAAAGAATCTGTAGACATCCATCTGGTGAACTCCAGGTGTTTGACAGATTAATTTCAGCCCCAGACAATTAAAAAAAAAAAAAAAAAAGGACTAAGGGCCAGAAATTCACTGGCTTTCAGTCCTAAAACTATCTGATAATCTGTATCTATTCCTAACATCTCAAATGTGGAGTCTGTGGTTATTATCCCACAAACCAGAGGGTAAAGAGGTTATGCAGCTGTAAATCTGTTCCTTCCCCATTGATAAGAAGTCCTGGTAAGCTGAAACCGGTTTGGTTCAATGGATAAAGCATCGGCTTGGGGACTGAAATGTCCTGGGTTCGATTCCAGTCAAAAGCATGTATCTTGGTTGCGGGCACATCCCCAGTAGGGAGTGTGCAAGAGGCAGCTGATCGATGACTCTCTCTCATCGATGTTTCTAACTCTCTATCTTTCTCCCTTCCTCTCTGTACAAAATCAATAAAATATATTAAAAAAAAAAAAAAAAAAAAAAAAAGTCCTGGTGATTTAGACCTGTCCTTTTCTTCCTGGTGCAGAGAGGGAGACAAGACAAATGTCCCTACAGAAGGGTGACTTCTACTCTGTTTTAAGAACTTCTATTGTATCTGCTGTTTTTCAAAATAATCCTTAGGCCAAGAGGCCTAGTTTGGGGTGGGATGCTCTGCTACCTTTTAAGGTGGCAGAGGACTCTGTTAAAAAACAAAATTCAACCCAGTGAATTTTAAAGGTTTTATTGGCTTTATTCAATGATTCAGGAATTGGGCAGCATCCCATCTAGGAAATAGAAAGTATTTCCAAGAAACTGTCCAAAATAGTAGACTTTTGTAGTCAGAAGGTGGTGGGACAGAAAGTTAAACAAGCAAAGAGCTGGTTTAGGAGATGGCAGGGATCTATCAGGCAGATGACCTCACTAGTGCCCATCAGATAATTCCAGATTAACTGTTTATGATTTTACTTCCATTTGGTGATATGGAGCTTAGCACAAATGGCTCCATTTTGGGTCTGTTGTCTCTCTTTTTTAAAAATGTATTTTATACTAAATGCTCAGTGCACAACATTAATGCATGGGGGACGGGGGATGGGTGTCCCTCAGCCCAGCCTGCACCTTCTCCAATCTGGGACCTCTCGAGGAATGTTCCACTGTCCGTTTACAGGGATGGGGCCATGGGGGTGTGGCTATGTAGGTTTTTTGTCTGTTTGTTTGTTTTTGTTTAGTGATAAAATAACTAAGCCAATCATGAGGGCTCCACTCATGTCCTAGTCACCTCCCAAAGGACCACCTTCTAACACTATCACATTTGGCATTAGGATTCCAATACCAGCCTGGCATCATTAGTCATAGGAATGCAAGTCAAAACCAACATTAAAACTACTACACATCTAGCCGGAACCGGTTTGGCTCAATGGATAGATCGTCGGCTTGGGGACTGAAGGGTCCCGGGTTCGATTCCGGTCAAGGGCAGGTACCTGGGGCATATCCCCAGTAGGGGGTGTGCAAGAAGCAGCTGATCGATGACTCTCTCTCATCAATGTCTCTAACTCTCTATCTCTCTCCCTTCCTCTCTGTACAAAATCAATAAAATATATTAAAAAAAAAAAACTACAACACATCTATACTAATAAAAGTGTAATATGCTAATTAGAATGGACATCTTCTGAATGTCCTTACAGAGAAAGCCACGATGGCGGGGACCAAAGCAGAGGCAGTAAGGAACGATCAGATTGGCAGGGGAGGGCAGTTAGGGGGCGATCAGGCCGGCAGGCAGAGGTGGTTAGGAGCGATCTGGCAGGCAAGGGAGCAGTTAGGGCATCAGAACAGCAGTCAGAGGTGATTAGGGGCGATCAGGGAAGCAGGTGAGAAGTTAGGAGCCAGTGGTCCTGGATTGAGAAAGGGATGTCTGACTAAACTGGCAGTCAGACACCACCCAAAGGGTCCCAGATTGGAGAAAGAGCAGGCCAGGCTGAGGGACTCCTCTATCCCTGTGCATGAATTTTGTGCACCAGGCATCTAGTCCTGTATAATAAAAGAATAATATGCAAATTGACCCTAACAGCAGTCACTATAACACTCACTGACCACCAGGGGGCAAACGGTCAACACAGGAGCTGCCCCCTGTGGTCATTGCATTTCCACAGGGGAAGTGCTGCTCAGCCAGAAGCCAGCTCATGGCTAGCCAGTGCTTCGGTGGTGGCAGCAGGATTCAGGATCTGTGGCAGCGCTAAGGATGTCCGTATGGGAAGCAGGCCTATGCCATTAGTCGGACAACCCCCAAGGGCTCCTGGGCTGTCAGAGGAATGTCTGACTGCCAGGTTAGGCCCGATCCCCCAGGGTCTGGGCTTAAGCCAGCAAGTGGACATTCCCTGAGGGATCCCAGACTGCAAGAAGATGCAGGCTTGGCTGAGGGACCCCCCCTCCCAAGTGCACAAATTTTTGTGTAGTGGGCCTCTATTATAATGACTAAAATGAAAAATACTGACCATAAAAAATGCTGTTGAGGCTATGGAGCAACTAGTATGGATGTCAAATGGTACAAAAACGTTGAAACAGTTTGGTGGTCTCTTAGGTAGTTGATCATATACCTGCCATATAATACAGCAATTCCATTTCTAGATGTTTACATATGAGAATTAAAAGTGTATATCCTTTAAAAAACTGTACCCATATTTTCATAACAGCTTTATGCATAATAGTTAAAAACTAGAAACAAGTCAACTATCCACAAACAGATAAATGGATAAAGAAATTTTGTTTTATCCATACAATGAAATACTACTCAGCAATCAAAAGGACTACACTATTGATACATGTAACAACATGGATAGAACTCAAAATACTTATGCTGAATGAAATAAGCCAGACAAAACACATACTAATGTAATGATCTATTTATATAAAATTCTGGAAAATACAAACCAACCTGTACAGACAGTACTGGTTGCCTAGCTTCTAGTTAGGGTCAGCAGTGTGAGGGAGAGATTACAAAGAAGCATAAGTAAACTTTTAGGAGTGATGGACATATTTATTATCTTGATTTTGTTAATGGTTTATGGGTATATATCTATAACATTCTTTATTTTTATTATTTTTTAAAATATATTTTATTGATTTTTTACAGAGAGGAAAGGAGAAAGATAGAGAGCTGGAAACGTTGATGAGAGAGAAACATCGACCAGTTGCCTCTTGCTCACCCCCTATCTGGGATGTGCCCGCAACCAAGGTACATGCCCTTGACTGGAATCGAACCTGGGACCTTTCAGTCCACAGACCGACGCTCTACCACTGAGCCAAACTGGTTTCGGCTATAACATTCTTTAAATATGTGGAATTATTTGTTAATTCTCACCTAAGAATATTTTTCCCATTGATTTTTAGAGAGAGTGGAAGGGAGGAGTAGAGACAGAGAGAGAGAGAGACAAATGTCCATGTGAAAGAGAAACTTTGATTGGTTGCTTTCTGCACTGACCCTGACCTGAGACATGGTGCCTGCAACTGAGGTACCAGCCCTTGACCAGAATTGAACCATGATGACCCTCTAGCCTGAGGGCCGAAGTTCTAACCACTTCGCAACCCCAGCCAAAACTATGTGAAATTATTTTAAGACCAAAAGACATAATATAATGGCTAAGAGACCTACCCAAATCATATTGCTACTTAGAAGCAAAATAAAGTTCATTGTATGACTATCAGTGGCCTAGCAGTTACTTCATAAATATTTGCTAAAAATAGGAGAGGGAGGCTTGAAAGATGTGACAAGCAAGAAGATAGGGAGGGAAAAATGTGTGAGTGTGAGAGAGTATGAGAGTATAGGAGCAATAGAGGAGTGTGTGGACGTGTGTGTGTGTGTGTGTGTGTGTGTGTGTGTGTGTGTGTGTGAGAGAGAGAGAGAGAGAGAGAGAGAGAACTAGGAATAGTTAGATCCTGCAAGCCTTTCAAGGGACTGCCAAAATAGACAATCTTAGATAGCAAAACCCCACTCTAGGGGCAACCAGCACAGGCACAGAGACCACATCATCTTAAAAAACAGAACTGCTTGAGACTAGGATCCTAGCCTCACCACCACCCAATCTGATCTTAAACGCAAACCAGGACCCTACAGGCACTGGGGACAGCGACCTGCAACCACAGCTGCAGACCCACAGTCACCAAAAATCCAGACATCTCAGCAGCAGATTTCTGTGAGTCACTGAACCCATCCCCC